ACACATTTCACTGTGTGTTATACTTGTATAACTATGCATGTGACAAATAAAGAAAATTGAACCTTGAACCTTGAAGTAAACACTGTTGCATAACAGATAAGATACGAAAAGAATACAATGATCTATTATTCAATAGACTTGGGTTCTGTGAGCATGCATAAAGCAGCAGCAGGATACCACAGAGAACCATTTGCCTGTATCCAAATTATGGAGTACAATATTTAAAGTGCAGTACAGTATGAGGCCACAAGTTCAAGTAGTTTGTCCTTTTATAATCATTCTGTACAGGGATGACTAAAGCAAGCATGCTGAGCTGAATGCGCTTAATATTTGTGGAGGAATCTGCATACTTCAGATCTGTATTAGCTCTAACAAACAGAAGCGAGATGAATATTCTAGTTATCGATTAGGATGACAAATGTCCCCAAAATGTTTGGGTGCATGTGGTGGTGCATAGGAATAAATAAAGGAGAGTCTTACCTTCGTGTTCGTTAAAAGTCCATCTGCATCATTTAAGCTCGCTGTTTCATATTTCTGTGAACAGACACCACCTGAAACAAGTCAAAGAGGTTTGGTTAGTCCGTATGATAATTCCCACCATGCCTGTTAGTGTTCTCATATCTGGATCGTGATTCCGACTCTGGTTTCCTCAGCTTTGATAGGACAGTGCACACTCACGGTGCACAGCAGACATCTGTGCAACCTGCAAAATAAATGGCATCTAATTTAAAAAGAAGATGGAAGAGAGATGGCAAAGCAGTGAGATTAAATGGATCGGACATTAAATGCTATCTGTTAAATAATGTTTCATGACACATTAGGCACGTTTGTATTATGTATCATTGAAAAAACTCCTTGAACTCTGAGCAGGTGTAACATCTGGTTTCCAGTTGGTGACTATCACAGCAGTAGAGCATGATTCACTTATCATTATCAGTGACCACTTGTGCCCTGTGCATGGGATTATTGTGATTCTGGGAGAGAAAATTCCTAGAAATATTATTACAATGCAGCAGATATGTCAGCAGTACGGTGTACATTTTAGGACATCGTCAGGTCTCAGGAAAAAAGTTGTCAGGTATCAGGAAAAAAGTTGTCAGGTCTCAGGTCTCAGACAAAAAAAATGTCTGAGACCTGAGACCCGACTTTTTTCCTGAGAACTGAGACCTGACATTTTTTTTGTCTGATACCTGACTACTTTTTTCCTGAGAACTGAGACCTGACATTTTTTTTGTCTGATACCTGACGACTTTTTTCCTGAGAACTGAGACCTGACATTTTTTTTGTCTGAGACCTGACGACTTTTTTCCTGAGAACTGAGACCTAACATTTTTTGTCTGATACCTGACGACTTTTTTCCCGAGAACTGAGACCTGACAACTTTTTTACTAATACCTGACGACTTTTTTCCTGAGACCTGACAATGTCCTAAAATGTACACCGTACAGCAGACTTATTATAGGTTTGTATTTTCTGATTAGTTTGTTTTTTATTTCCATTTGGTTTCGTTTTTAATTTGGTTTAGTCCAAGTTTTTAATTGTTGGAAAATGTTTAGTTTTAGTTGGGTTTTTTTGTTAAGTATTATTGTAATAAGGGAACATTTTAAAAGCAGTTGACTCTCAGTCTTCTAGGCATTCAGAGTAATAGTGAAAACTTTGAAATAATAATATGAAAATTCTGAGCATATTTTAATGATGAATTTACCTTCCACAATACTTAGTTAAAACGCACACACAGACACACACTTTTCATGTATTTTGAAAGTTGTTTTTTGGAGAGCTGGAATGTAAATGTGCCTGTCTCTGAATCACTTTGGATCAACTTTTGTTGTTTAAATATTTTCTAGTCTATAAATAAAATAAACAAGACAGCAGACACAAAACGGTTCAGAGATTTTTCTTTTTTTTTTTTAAAAATGTAATCCATCCATCTTTCTCTACTTATCAAATTTAGGGTTGTGGTGGTGCTCACCCTGAACCCATCACCAGGCTATCACAGGGCGCATACACAGAGACAACCATTCAGTCACATTAACGCCTGCGGCAAATTTAGAATTGCCTGTTAACCTAACATGAATGTCTCTGGACCGTGGGAACACCTAACACAGCCACAGGGAGAACACACAAACTCGAGAAGAAAGGACTCGGCCGGCCGGTGAATCCAAACCCAGGACCTTTTTGCAGTGAGTTGACAGTGCATTATAACAATGAAATAATTTAGGGGGAAGAAGTCACAAAATAAATAATGCAAATAATAAAAAGTCTTGCAAGCCCCTTTAATAGCGCTCTGCAATCCGTAAAGACTTGAGGGGAAGCCAGTAAAAAAAAAATTCTTTCATTTTTATTTACAGGGTAGTGTTGACTCATGTGGTTAACCATCCATCTAAACACACCTAACAAACCTTTTAATAGTCAGCGATGCTTCATAAATTCAACCAAACCTGTCCAGATACAGGCAATATTACTTTTAATTTTTTATAGTTGTCAAAATTGAATAGCAGACCTCTTTATTTTTGGCTACCAATACTTAATAAATAAGGTCATCAGTGGATGACATAGTAAACTTAGGTTCTGGCAGTTATCACTTTTAGGGAACTGCAGAAACCTGTTAGACAAGAAGATTAACTAGGAAGTGTGCATTCCACTTACAGAAATGTCTGTGTTTACAATAACTAGACTTCTAGTAAGCTCCCCTTAATGCAGAGCACAGCCTCGGGACAGACAAAAGCAGGGTCTGGCAAAGGAAAAGGGTTTCATAGTTTACTTTAGGGGTTTCCAGCTTGGACCCTTTTGAAAGGGTAACATAGCCACCAAGGTGGGAAAGGAGGAAAAACTCTTATAACTCTAAAAATACTTCTATTATTATTATTCATATTAATATTGTTTGTGGTTATTATTATTCAGTAAAACAGTTGATAGTTCACTAATCTACCTGTACATGTCCCTGACATCCTAAAGTTTAAATATTAGATTTGGAAAGTGGGAGGAAGTTATTTTTGCTACCACTCTCATTCACTTCATTCATTAGTACTACTTCATTAGCTTGGCTTACAGTGCACCCGGTTTCTCCCAAATGCGTCAAAGTATGATGCTGATTCATTTTCAAAATGAACATTACCATTTGACTGAGTCTTTTTAGACTTCCTGGACATTGTGAGCTGAACCTGCCGGTGAACCCGCTGGTTCCGGTCCTCATCGGGCTGCGTTGAGAATCGCAGATAGGCCGGCAAAGCCAGGCTGGTGTCATCCAGCACAGAGGAGTCGTGCGCAGGTAACGCCGACTTAAAAAACGGATCGTCCATTGTGAACAACAAAAGAGAGCAAAAGAAAAAAAACAACTCGCCAAGAGTCGAGAGGTCAGTTTTTCCTTTTAACCATATAAATAGGGCTCCTGGAATAATAGTCGACGCTGCTTTGTTTCTCCCACTTTCCCTCAGCTAGGTACAGCCAGGAGGGCGGGGCTAAAGGCGCACCTGAGGTGTCAGGTGTCACCACGAGGACACGTCAGGTAACAATGTGTGAATGTAGCTGTGTGCTTTAATTATTTACTTTTATTTCCCTGCAGACTTTTTAAAAAAAAAAAAGTTTAACGGCCGTTTTGAAATTGTAAACTAAATTACTCAACACCAATCAACATTTTTAAAGATTCAGCTAACAGTAATGGGGAAAACTGATATATTTGTCCAGCAAAAGTTTTGCCTCTGTACACCACCATGATGGATTTTAAATCAGTCGATCAAGATGTGATTATATGACTTTCAGCTTGAACTCAAGAATAAATGTCTGCATTAACTGTGCAGGAAGTGCAGTCATTTTCTTCAGACGTTCGGGAGTAATTCGAGAGACTCAGGTCAAGTGTGTCATATTTGATACCTTTTTGGGTGAGTTTTTATATCTCTACATCATCAGTGTGATAAATTGCACTCTAAATTGCAAGGTTCAATAAACACTTGAAATAGCTGAATAAGCTACAAACACTTTTTTAAACATAAAATTGGCCATAGAAGAGCATCCTACTTCTTTGCCTTGGCACAAAATTCATCCTGCTTCTTCCATCAGCATTCACATCATC